CTCTGAAACGAAGTGGATATAGGAAACCAACATCAAAAAGTCAATACGCCCACTTCTTTAGTGCAGTTTGCCTCCAATACAAAAGGAATCTGGTAAAATGTCCAGCATACCAAGTCACAACTATTGGTTCAGATGATGCAATAGAGGAAGAGTTCGCCACCATCTATGATCTGCTTTGTAGGAATGGCTATCCAGCCAAGTTTATTACTAAGCATATGAATATTACAAGGGTTAAGACACGAATGTCAACATCTTCTAAGAAGCAAATCTTCTTGAAGCTGAAATACACGAGTAACATTGCCAATGAGATTAATAAACAAGGAGCTCATAAAAGGAGTCTTGCATAAACCAGTCGATAAATTATATTCCATCTTCTACAATCACACGATTCAAAGTGCGAGAAATAAAGACAACCTGCTTGATTCTGCCATTTTCATGTGGATTTATCAATTCAACTGCTACTGTGGATCTAGTTATACTGGGGGTACAATGAGGCAGTTTTATCGTCGAACTATTGATCACCACTTATCATGGTTGAGAAAGGGACAAATTAGAATAATAAAGAACTCCATACTTGCACACCTAGTTGATATAGGACATCAAAGGGGTTACTACAAACGTTTTTAAAATTGTTCAACAGATTCCACTTGATTTACCACATGGATTACTCACTCGTTTACTTTACATAACAGAGGCGATTGCAATCCACATTTACAAATAAATCCAACCTTTGTATTCCAAAGATGTTTGTTCAATCAATTTCATCATTACCATGGCCGTCAACTTCTAGGATTACTCGCTTCACCTCATCTCCTTCTTGTTTTTATCATCATTACGTAATCAATAACTGGGAATGACTAAATACTCATCAAAAATCGCTCCATTTACTTAAGAATAATCTGCTTCATATTATCAATTTTTAATTACTCTGTTGATGATTTGAAACTTAAAGGAAGTAGTCTCTTTCACTTACCTAGGCAGCATCGTCTCAACTACAGGCGGCACAGACGAGGATGTCAAAGTCAGAATCGGAAAAGCAAGACAGGCGTTCGTTAACCTGAAACCAGTGTGGAGATCCACTGCACTCCACTCAGCATGAAGTGTGAACAACATCCCGATTTCAACACCAAGGTGAGTCAAGTCAGTGCTTCTGTATGGCTCAGAAACTTGGCGTGCCACGAAAAGCATTTCCAACAAACTACAGATATTCATCAACAACTGCCACCTACGCTCACTCGATACTGAAGATCAGATGACCAGAATAGTAGGAATAAGCAACAAGGAACTCAATGTGGCTGGCAACGGACCAAGCAAGAAGCTATCGCTGAACAAATATGCATTGGAAGGAAGTGGAGATGGATTGGACATACACTGAGAAGGCCAACTGGGGACATCACGTCCTAGGCGAGGTACTCGGGTGGAATCTTAAAGGGAAACGCCTAGTTAGGTGCCTAAATCGAGAGTGACATGGAAGAGATGATGTGAAGAAGAAATGAAAGCTTGTGAGCAGTGGTGGAGCCAGGTTTTGAAGACTGACAAGAAGAGAGTGGAATGGACGCGTGTTACGGAAACCCGATGTTTCACTAGGAACCCAAGGGAAAATAAATAAATCATAGTAAATTATAACAATGACATCAGAGATTACCGGTCGCAAGTGTGTTTAGGCAGCAAAATGCAAAATACTCTTCATAGTTTTATGGAACAAGTCCATTAACCTAACGTCTCCAACAAATAAACATTCAATAAGTTATTGAACTTTATGACAGGATGACAAATCCTCCGAATTATTTTATCCATCAGACTGAAAAAACAAGAATTTTACACAATGTTGACTTGTGCAACAAGTTGACCAATTGGATATCTAAGCTGTGAACTACATAGTATAAGTATTTTTGAAAAGATTGAAGGAAAATCCATCAAAATGCTGTTAATAATCTATGCACAGGTGAACACCATTTTCGGATACGGGGGTTCGAACAAACTGTTTATCGTTTTGCAACTGATAATCATTGAACTAACCCATGATATTCCTGATTGTAGTGGACTGGATCATGTGACAAACTGTTAGGAGCGAGAAGAGGGGGATACGCTGGGCTGAGAAAAAGATTTGTATTTCGCCGACGATGATTTGTGTCTGATGTAACACAAACCCGAAGATCTACAGATGAAAACTAACAATTTGACAAAAGAGGCAGGCAGTGAAGACAAGACTTCAAGTGAACGTAGAGAAGACAGAAGTAGGGGTGATGAAGATACCCAACCAACAACAGCATCAACAAGAGGCACCAGTCACCATAAACGGAAGAAACTTAATGGAAGTAGCCTCTTTTACATGCCACTTACCTAGAAAAGGCAGCATCGTTTCAACTACAGGTGGCGGCACAGACAAGGACGTCAAGGCCAGAATGGAAAAGACAGCAAGATAGGCGTTCAACAATCTGAAACCAATGTGAAGATCTTCTGCACTCAGCAAAAAGAACAAGATGCGGATTTTCAATACCAACGTCAAGTCAGTGCTTCTGTATGGCTCAGAGACTTGGCGCGTTACGGAAAGGATTTCCAACAAACTACAGATGTTCATCAACAGCTGCCGCCTACGCTGGCTTGCTACTGAAGCTCAGATGGCCAGAATAGTAAGAAAAAACAACAAGGAACTCTGAGAAGGAACAAACAACCAAGAAGCTATCGCTGAACAAATATGCATTGGAAGGAAGTGGAGATGGATTGGGAATATACTGAGAAGGCTGATTGGGGACATCACTCGCCAGGCTAGGTACTCGAATGGAACTCAGATGGGAAGCGACGAGTTGGGCTTTGGAGGTGAGGGTGATATGGAGGAGATCATGGGAGGAAGAAATGAAAGGTTGTGGACTGTTGTGGCGCCAGGTTGGAAAGATTGCAGAGAAGAGGGTGGGATGGAGACGTTCTACTGAAGCCGTATATTCCACTAGGAACCGGTGGGACAAATAATAATATTAACCATTGAACTCCTGACTTAGAAACTGGGTCATTTTAGCTATAGACATCATTCTATTATTGAAAATAACACTAAATATGAGGCTTAGTCCTCGCCTGATTACATGCCTCATCAAAATTGGTGTATCTGAGTACATTCTGAACGAAGTTACTCATTAGTTATCTGAATAACCTTTACAAACACGCATAATTGAGGAATTTTTTTTGATAGTTCGAATGAATCATTCATTATATTACCAATTCGTTTTTTTTCTTTTCGTTACCATCATTACTGAAAGTAGCAAACGTGATCAATAAGTCAACAAACATTTTGGTAGACAACATTTTATTGATTTTTTTTTATGTTACTTAAATGTTTCTAGTGAGTAGTATGATCAGCGGTAAAATTTAATACTCATGCAAAGTGTTTAATTACACTGGTTTATCATATTTATAGGTTAATGAATAAAAGCCAGTGATTAAAAGTCAATTGACCTTGACTGTTCAAAATTCACTAGCGTTTGGATGTGTCTGTGTGTGTGTTTTAATTGATTCGTAGAGATGGAAGAGAAGAATATAGAGATTTACGTGAACTTTCAATGTTCATTAGGGACAAAACTCATTACTGTTATTACCTTTATTATTACTATTTAGTTAGGTAGTGATGGTAGTGAAAACCAAAAAAAAAGCATAGGAAAGGAGTTGAAAGGATGAAAACGTTTGCTGATAGTTGATAAAGGACAACTAATTCTTTGGAAATATTCAATAACTTGAGATGTTATGCTCATGTCTCACTATTGTAAAGACTACCGATAAGAATTTCAAAACGATGTTTATCTGAGCAAACATTGTGTTACAGATAGAACAACAATTAAATGTTTGTATATGTTACCTTGAAAAGAATACTATAAAACAAGGAGTAGTACCCTATCCAGGTTTCGTACTTGTAAGCACTCGTCAGCAATCATGACGAAACTCATGTTCTACGTAAGATTCGAACCTGCTTCACACAGTGTTATAATCAGTGATAAGTCGTGACTAACATCATATAAGAATGGCTTACATACATTGACTTGAGCGAAACCAGTTTGATTTTCTTTAGTCCTGAGTGCAGACCGAATTCTATCGATCATATTTTCAGTATGGTAACCGACGAGTTATGAAAGGCATTTCCAACAAACTACAGATATTCATCAACAACTGCCACCTACGCTCACTCGATACTGAAGATCAGATGACCAGAATAGTAGGAATAAGCAACAAGCAACTCTGACTGGCTGGACAATGAACTAACCAAGAAGCTATCACTGAACAAATATGTATTGGAAGGAAGTGGAGATGGATTGGACATACGCTGAGAAGGCCGACCTGGGATATCAGGCGCCATGCCAGGTACTCGAGTGGAACTCAGATGGGAAGCAACGAGTTTGGCTTTGGAGGTGAGGGTAACATGGAGGAGATTATGTGAGAAAGAAATGAAGGCTTGTGGGCAGTCGTGGAGCTACGTTCAAGAGATTACAGAGAACAGAGAGGAATGGAGACGTGCTACTGAAGCGGTACTTTCAACTAGGAACCTAGGGGACAAATAATGATAGTAAAAATAACCGGTAGGAAACCCAACCTCCATACTTGTTGGCACTTATCAGCAAGGCTTATCACATTGTCAACTGGATCGAATTGATCGACTACTGTTGGGATATAAGCTCTCACATCAATGCACAGATATTGTGAACATTCTAAATTTTGATGTTATTATTGGTTGGTGGGTAGCAGTGGAATTCAAGGTGTGCTTTTCGTCATATGTGATACTCATCAAGTGAATTCATTTTCCTCCCAGTGTGCGATTCTCTCTCAGTGGTAGTACCGTTAGCGAATACTAATTGACCACTGTATCAATCTCGTAGACAGAATTTATCAGTCAAACCATTCTAGTCTAACTGAACATCATGATTATTGTTCTAGAGGACAATAACCCCCACTAATGATAATATTCAATGGATTCAATACTGATAAGTAATTACTTGATTAGAAGAATCAAAAATTTTCATATAGAAATTTTATTTAGAGAAAATGTAACATAATAACTTGTTGTTTACGTTGATAAAGTTTTCTATACGATTCTGATTTATTCATATGTGCCAATGTGGATAGATATGTGAATGAGAGTGAACTAGAGAATATTTCAATGTATACAAGTGTTTGTTTAAACTTTGAATAATTAGTCAGTAATAAGATTTGCATTAATTTGATTCATTTAAACAAAATCAGTTGGAATCATTGAATTATTCTCATCATGTAAACAATATTGTTCATTACCTTGGCTGATAATTTTAGTATTACTACTACTACTACTAACTGTATTATTAGTAGTATATGTTGTAGCACATTTACATTTTGTATAATCTATTCGTTTATCTACTAAATTAATAGGATTTATAGGTGCTACTGATTGATAATGATGATTGAAATTTTCAGGTAATCGATTTATCTTGTCTATTATTGATTTTTCAGGTGAAGTATAATCTTCGTCTTCTTCTTCTTCATGTTCTTCACATGTAGTAGAGTTTAAAAAGGTTGTATATGTATTGGGATTTACTAATTGATTAGCTTTTTCAAGGTTGTTTAGGTCAATTTTTGTATAATTTAAAGTTTTTGACACTGTTGGCATATAATCTGAGTTTACATTCATTTGTTTATGTTTTATTGTTTGTATAATTGGTTGAAATGATGATTGAATTGGTTTCATTTGAAGAATTGGCATACATTCGGCTAAGACAACAAGAAAATCAAGAATATGAAATAATTAAATTTTGAGGGGGTTGTAGAGATTTGGAAATATTTCAAGTTGTTATTCATCGAAGACTGAGGACAAATACTCAACGATGACATTGGGTGGCGGTTTGCGCTATATCGTGAGCTAACAGAAGTTGGAAATATGGAGCATTGGATTCTGACCCAGTGGCTCAATGGTAACGCGCTGGCCGTGGAACCTGAAGGTCGCGGGTTCGGTCCCTGCTGGTGGGGTCGTGGGTGCGCACTGCTGAGGAGTCCCATACTAGGACGAAACAGCTGTCCAGTGCTCCCAGGTTTCCTTTGTTCCTCCAACTGATGTCAGTCTTCGATGAATAACAACTTGAAATATGAAATAATGCAAAATATTTATAGGTCAGATAGATTGTCTTGGTTGTATTGTGTTCTCTGAGCTGGATTGTTTTTTCATTGTGAAGCAGACCAAAAGGATGCAACAATCAAAGAAGACAAACCGAATATCATTTACAAAATCAACTGAAATTACTGTAGTCAACCAACCCTACATTGGACAAAGCGATCGCCTTCTTCGTCTTCGTCATTTACATGAACACCAATTGGCTATTAAACGACACGACATTTCATCATTCATTTCAATGTACCTGGATAATTATAGACATGAATTCAATTTCGACAATGTAGAAATTTTGGACGGTGAGAGGAAACATAAAGAATATTAGAGAATTCCTCGAAGCTTGGCATTCCCGTCAGTCAGGAATCAACAGTTGTATACACATAGACCCAATCTATCAACTGATAAGGAAAATGATGAACTACAGAAAGGTCAGAGGTCAAGCAGAGAGACAACCAGCAGGAAAATCAATGCAGTCAGTCAATGACACAACAATGACAGCTCACTTCATACTGAAGTTAGTGTTGATGATGTCGCTGTCTAGAAAAACACGATGAAAGCTTCACGAGTGAACAACCCAGCCATCCCAGAGAACACAATACAACCAAGACCAAGAATATGTCTAATTTATGAGAGAGGTAGAACAGCCAGATCAGAGTGATCGAAAGTATTTCGCTGGTTTGGGATCAAGTCACCTCATCATCCATGCACCCGTTATGATCTGGCAGATTGGTGGAATGTATACAACAGTCTGAATGGTTTTTAACTACTCATCTTCTCCATTAGTGGTACACACTTTTGTGTCAGAGATCAAACGTTGTAATCTTGGTTGAATGAACCTACTTTTCAACAGAAACCGAGCTGACTTGCACCAAAGTTGGACAGTAGCCGAAAAACTACTCAACTGTGAGCTATCTGATTCCAAAATCACTTGTAAATTATTCCTCCTGGAAATCAATACCGTCAAGTGATTATTCTTTGAGAGAGAATATTGAAATTTATCCACATTCGATCGACTGTCTTTTTTCTCAGGACCTTCTGTTCATTTTAAACTGATGTGTTACAACAGAAAATAGAGAAATCTGACAGGTCAAGGACTGACATTATTTGGAGAGTAATTGAAAAACCTAGGGATCCCTAGAGAGCTGTTTTGCGTTAGTACGGAACTTCTCAGCAAAAAGCATCCATAACCGCACCCCCAAGAAGTCCCACTTATCACCTTCTGGTTCATATGTAATCAATAATTGATTAGAAAGAAGAGTTTGACGCTTTAGAAGTCAGTCATCTCCTGAAGTTTCAGATGTGACAAGTGAGTTGATTAATGCTACACCTGAATGCACAGTACTTTGGTGTTTCATTATTTTTTTCCCTTGGGATCCTAATGGAACATGGGGCCTCAGTAGCACGTCTGCATTGCAGTCTCTTCTCTGCAGTCTTTTAAACTTCGCCCCACCACTGCCCATAAGCTTTCACTTCTTCCTCATATTATCTTTTCCATGTCACCCTCGGCTCACACGCCCAAATCTTCGTTTCCCCTTTGGATTCCACTCGACGGCCTGACCTGGCCTGGCACGTGATGTCCACTATAGGCCTTCTCAGTGTATTCCCAATCTATCTCCACTTCCTTCCAATGCATATTTGTTCAGCTATGGGTTCTTGGTTGGTTCGTTGCCAACCAGATTGAGTTCCTTATTGCTTATTCTTATTATTCTGACTATCTGATCGATCTTCAGTATCGAGTAAGCGTAGGTGGAAGGTGTTCATGATATGTGTCTGTAGTTTGTTGGAAATGCTTTCGTGACGCGTCAAGTCTGTCAACCATCACAAAGAAGCACTGACTTACTTGACTTACTCTCATCGAGAGAGAGAGAGAGAGAGAGAGAGAGAGAGAGAGAGAGAGAGAGAGAGAGAGAGAGAAGACAGCTTCCTGAAGGTTTTCACAAACCGGCGAAATTTTGCCTCTCCAACTCCAGCAAAGAATAAGTTTATTTCTATTTTTTATATTTTTTGTTGCGCTTTGAAGTTTCTTTAGCAATCGGATTGGTTTTACGGTGTAGGGTTCCTAGGCCGATGCCCAACCTTCTCTCTTTATCCGGGTTTAAAACCAGTTAGTAACTAGTAAACTATTCAGCCAAGCGGGGTTTCGGTGTTTGATAGTAAGAGTTAATATGCAAGAAACCTCAGTTGGTGTAGATTTATTCTTTGTGGGCAGTATGATTAAACTGATGCTTTCTCGATGATTCGAATCTTTGCCAATGAATACTCATATCATAGATTTTGTTATGAAGTTATGAAACACCTTCCTGATAAGTGCCAACAAGGGGACATCGTAGATTCAGGTATTTTTCGCCCATTAACTACAAGTATCCAGGACTAAAGTATATCTATTCATCACTTAAAAGATACTCGTTGAACCGGAAAACTTAAGGCTTTCCAGCGGATTGTAATATTTTAGTCACCAGAACTTCATGTTCATAAGGAAAGAAACTTTCTTAAAAAAAACTGTTATATACTACTGATATTTACTGGATAAATATAAATAATGTAGGGGAATAAACCGGAACAGTCTAATATTCATCAACTGTACAAAATCAAGGATTCACTGAAGAATTCTGAGATTTGATGGCTAACACACTGTTCTCCAATAGGTAAATTGTAATTAGGTATTTCAAGCTATCCTATATCAACCGGTTCATGATATACCAGTTTCACTAGCCAACTGCTAACATGGTGATCCGTCCTAACTTCTGCTTTGTTTTATTCTGTAGATCATAACTTCCTTTCTAACCAATGAAAGTGAAGGAAGCAAACGACAAATATGTCTGTTGTCAAGAAGTGGGACAGTAGTCCTTAAATATGGTACGACTTGCACTAAAACCGTCATTTGCAAACTATGCTTCATTTCCTTTTCTGCTTCTCTCTTGATTTGCTCTTCATATGTCTGCCTTGTCTCTTGCGTTTCTTTTGGCAGAATACTTACCCATTACTGGTAATTGCCTATGATTTCTATCACCGTCTCAACATATACTACTTATATTCAGTCTTATCAGCAACGCCCACTACAGAATATCAGTGTACATGATGATAAGTAGGGGATATCGCCGACTGAAATGCTTTGTAGAGAAATTATTCATCGTTTCATTTTTTCTATTTTTAGTACATAGTACAACTATTGATGATGGAAACGTCCCTCCCGCCCCCGCTGCCATAAAGTGTACCTGTAAGTGGTTAACACACTAGGCAAAACAGATGTAAAACATGCAAAATAAATCAATACTCACCTTGATGCTTATGGATTTCCTTAGGATTTGTACAAATAGTAAAGTTAGCGTCTAACGTTGTTGATTTCTTATAAGTTTTATTGTCTTTCAATACTTGTGAAGATGACTTGAAAGATAGGAAGGAGTAGAGGAAAAAGAAAAGAAAAGGTGACAGTATTCAGTAGATAATCAAATATTTTTTAAAGTTGATCACCTTTAGTCACTATTTGATATGCTTCAAGTAACTATAGAGAAATGTACAGCGTAATGACCATGAAGCTTCAAGATTATTTTCCCTCCAGAAACAGATTTTCAGTAATCCATGAAATATCTCTATAGTGTTGGAATAAAACAATGAAGAACAATAGTCTGACAGAATTACTATGCATGTGTTCATAAGTTCTCCTTAGCTGCTTTACACAGTTTATAGAATGGAATGTTTATGATTAGAGAAAAGGCATGTTGCGCAATGTACTGTCATTAATTTATAGTTGTAAAATGTAGTCTTGAACCGATGCACAGCGTCGACCGAGAAGTAATTTCGAAACTGCTTCAATACTACGGAATACAACAAACCTTTATCAGCCTCATTCAACAACTAGATTAAGATGCAACATGCCAAGTAATTCACAGAAGCTCAGTGATGCCTCCGGAGTGAAGACAGCAGTGAAACAAAGTTGCCTACTATCCCCATGATATTCCTGACTGTGGTCAACAGGACTGGATCAGGCAGCAAAAAGTGGAGAGCTGTGAGAAGAGGGGGATACGTTGGCTGCACTGCGGAAACGTACCGAGGAGATCTGGATTTCGCCAAGGATGACTTATGCCTGATGTCACACAAACTTGAAGATCTACACGCAAAAACTAACAAGTTGACAGAAGAGGCGAGGCAGGGCAGCGAAGGAAGACAGGAGTTCAAGTGAATATACAGAAGACAGAGATGATGAAGATACCGCATCGCACCACCAATGACAACAAACTCGAATCACCATCAACGGGAGAAACTTAAAGGAAGTAACCTACTTCACCTATCTAGGCAGAGTAGCACTGTTTCAAGTACAGGCGGCACAGGCACAGGCACAGGCACAGGCACAGACGAGGATGTCAAAGTCAGAATCGGAAAGACAGCAAGACAGGCGTTCATTAGCCTGAAACCAGTGTGAAGATCTACTGCACTCCACTCAGAATGTGGAACAACATCCGGATTTTCAACATCAACACCAGTCAAATCAGTGCTTCTGTGTGATGGTTGAGAGACTTGGCGCGTAACGAAAGGGATTTACAATAAACTACAGACATTCATCAACAGCTGCCACCTACGCTCACTTGATACTGAAGATCAGATGGCCAGAATAGTTAGAATAAGCAACGAGGAGTTCTGGGAACGAACAAACAACCAAGAAGCTATCGCTGAACAAATATGCATTGGAAGGAAGTGGAGATGGATTGGGTTGGGGATACACTGAGAAGGCCGTCTGGGTACATCATGTGTCAGGCCAGATACTCGAGTGGAATCTTCGTGGGAAGCGACGAGTTGGACGTCCGTGGTGAGGGTGACATAGAGGAGATGGTGCGAGGAGTAAATGAGAGGTTGTTGGCTGTGGTGGAACCAGGTTGAAAAGATTTCAGAGAAGAGAGTGGAATGGAGACGTGCTACTGAAGGGGTGTGTTTCACTAGGAACTCAAAGGACTAATAATAATAATAATAATAAAATGTAGTCTTGTTGTCATCATTCTACTTATAGATTTTGATATGTGGACGACACTTTTGTCATCATTAAAAAATACGATGATATACAGAACACCCACAATTTGATCAATAACGCTTTCAGTGATATCAACTTCACAATGGAGAAGGAGTCAATCAACCAACTAACATTCCTGGATGTTTTAGTCAGTAGAACAAATGCCGAAAAGCTGGAAACCCAATTGTACAGTAAGCCAACACACACTGACTGATCAAATCCTCAACCTACAATAGCAACAACCCAACAACACACAAAATTAATTGCATGCAGATTCTATACTGAAGAGCGAGAACAAAACGCAGCACAATAGCTTCAAGGAGAAAAGCAGAAAAATTACTTGATGTCCATCCTAAAGAAGACCGGCTACCCACGAATCTTCATCAGAAGATGCCAATCCTGTGTATCATTAACTACAAAGTCATGGACAAAAATCAATAAACACATCACCCTACTGTATATTACTGAGACCGTTTGACTGAATTGAAGGGACTCATAAACCAAGAAATTCCCTCCAAACACTATTATGCACACCAATGGATGCAACAACAAAATAAGATAAACCGAATATCATTTACAGGATCAACTGCAATAACTGTAGTCAACACTACATCAGACAAAGTGGTCTCCGTCTTCGTCTTCATCATTTACATGAACACCAATTGGCTATTAAATGTCACCACATTTCATTATCCGTTGTTCAATACACGTGGATGCCAACTATGGATATGAATTTAGTGTTGACGATGTAGACGTGTTTGACGGAGAGAGGAAAGATAAAGAATATCTCAGAGAATTCCTAGAAGTTTATCATTCACATCAGTCAATCAGTAAGGAGCAGATGTATAGATATAGACCCAATCTATCAACTTATGATGAAAATGATAAAGAAAAAGGAAGATCAGAGATGAAGTAGAGGAACAGTGAGAACAGGAAAACCTATACAGTCAATGACATAACAATCAAAGGAAACAACCAATCACAGATCACTTCGTCAGTGGAAGGTACCAAATCATTCACGGAGAGATATTGACAGCTGATTATCCATGTTGGAGTTAATGCTGATGATGTTGTCTAGAAGAAAGACGATGAAAGCTTCATGATTACACAACCCAGCTCAGAGAACACAATACAATGAAAACCATCCACTTGAACTACAAGTATTCTCCACCAGTATTAAATTTAATAATCTTATGATTCGCTAAGATCGAAAATTTGTCAACCTTTTATACAGTTCACTTAGCTATGATTTTACTAATTCTAGAATAACATTGTGTATAACACTGTCTAGTGGTTTTTGCTATCCACTCTAGAATGTTTATTCGATGACTGTATAAACCAGTGAACCAATGAAACTTTTTATCTTAATAGAAAGATACTTCATACTTTAGAAAAGTACATTGTATTGATTGTTTATTTATCACAAATATTATATTTTATTGGTTGTGTAAAACAGTTGATGAGAATCCATGAAATGCATGTAAACTTATCAAGAACACGATATTCAACGAAGAGACTCTTTTCAACGAATTTATTTTCAAGCTGTACAATCGTATATATACATGGTATTTGGAAAAAATTATATCCCATGAGGAAAACTAAACACTATATGCTGTTGATGACAATAATAATAGAACGGATGATGACATAGGCATTTGTTAACGATGAATCGTGGATAGCAGTGGAATCCAGGATGCGCATTTCATCCTATTTGGGACTCGTCAGCTGGATGTACCTGCTTCCCAGTGAGTGATGTTGTTCGCACAAGAAATGGCTATCGTGGCTCCATGATGTAGTGGATAACGTGCTGGCGTTTGAAGCGATCGCTCCCGAGTCCGAGTCCCAGTGGGAACAACATCACTTACTGGGAGGCAGGTACATCCAGCTGACGAGTCCCAAGTAGGAAGAAATGCGCATCCTGGATTCCACTGCTAGCCACGATCCATCATTAACATAATTAGATTGCTGGCAATATCGAGGCATCCGCACAGGAGCTCAATTACCAATACAGACCGATCAATTCGGTCCAAGCAACGACGGTATCATATAAAAACCCTTATAGTAATAGGCATTTGTGATTATAATAACAAATAGATTATGTAATATATGGAATGGTACATAGAGAGCATCTAACTCAGAAGGGGGTGAAAAAATTGTTGAAAATGGTAAATCAATTAAGTATTATGTAATGGTATTAGACAAATTGGACAATATGAAGTCAATGTTTTCTAAAAGGATTAAGACAATTAAGTGAAACAACACCGGAAACTAGTTGAAGTGAAGGCGATTACAATAACAATAATAGTGATAAAGGAAGGATACAAAGGTTAAATTAACAAAGTGGGAGGGGGAGCTAATGGGGTGGGAAAATGTTATGGCCATGACAAAGACAGTGACTGTACATACTTCTTTTGTACACATAGATCAGGTCTTAGTTCATGAATAGCTAAAGCCGCCGCTGTTTTAAGTAGTTGAAAACAAAGAGAACGTGGGAGGTTTGGGCGAATTTGATAAAAGTCATCGTCTGGATTTGTTGTGTGATGGAAGTCAATCAGTTTGTTCTAGAATCAAACTTCTAACAGACTTTCTTTCACCTTTATAAAACCAAGCAGGAACATGTTCTGATATACATGTAGAAAGCATTCTCTGGCTACGACCGATGTACCTTGCCCCACAAGAGTAGGTGAACTGGTAGATGCACATAGAGGCGGCCAAACGAGGAAGCTTGTCTTTAACGCAGGTGGAGAATAGGTTGTGGCTGGTAAAAGTCAACTGGAGTCTTGCTGCGAAGAAAGTCCTATTGATTGATCTGGTAAGACGATTCTTCAGTACATCCGATGCTAGGTCACCTTTAAACTCTAGGCTCATAAACAATCTTTTGTTTGAGACCGAGTGGATGACTGGTTTAGTGTTTCTTTCCCGCATATTTTTATCAATAAAACGGCTAGGGTAACCGTTTTCGACAAGTGTGCTTTTTAAAAAAGATAGCACTTCATCGATACAATCATCACTACAGATATTTCTTATTCGACAGCAAAAAGAGTGAATAAGATTTATTGTTCTGTTGATGGGTACCCAACTATAAAAATTAGTTATTCTGCTTCTTTTCGACATGGAATTTGTGGTAGGATATAGTTCCGTATTAAATTTGTTGATTTGACATACAATACAATACACAGAGGTGATGAAGATACCGCATCAACAACAACAACAACAAACTCCAGTCACCATCAACGGGAGAAACTTAAAGGAAGTAACCTCCTTCACCTATCTAGGAAGCACTGTTCCAACTACAGGCAGCACAGGCACAGACGAGGATGTCAAAGTCAGAATCGGAAAGACAGCAAGACAGGCGTTCATTAGCCTGAAACCAGTGTGGAGATCCACTGCACTCCACTCAGCATGTGGAACAACATCCGGATTTTCAACATCAACACCAGTCAAGTCAGTGCTTCTGTGTGATGGTTGAGAGACTTGGCGCGTCACGAAAGGCATTTCCAACTAACTGCAGACATTCATCAACAGCTGCCGCCTACGCTCACTTGATACTGAAGATCAGATGGCCAGAATAGTTAGAATAAGCAATAAGGAGTTCTGAGAACGAACAAACAACCAAGAAGCTATCGCTGAACAAATATGCTGTGGAAGGAAGTGGGGATGGATTGGGCATACACTGAGAAGGCCGACTGGGTACATCATGTGTTAGGCCAAGTACTTGAGTGGAATCTTCGTGAGAAGCGACGAGTTGGACGTCCGTGGTGAGGGTGACATGGAGGAGATCGTGTGAGAAGGAAATGAGAGGTTGTTGGCTGTGGTGGAACCAGGTTGAAAAGATTTCAGAGAAGAGAGTGGAATGGAGACGTGCTACTGAAGCGGTATGTTCCACTAGGAACCCAAAGGACTCATAATAATAATAATAATAATAATAATAATACACAGTAATATACAACAGAGTCTACTTGATGGCGCTTTGAGCATCCGTTATCATTGCTCTTTATCATCATATTAATGTAATCACATAAGACTTTCCATGTCCGTTTTCTACAGTCTTATCACCTCATATTCTTTCTTTCTGTTGGTAGTAAATTTTTTTTCATATTTTTCTTAAGGGCGGGTGTTGCATCATTACTATTACAAGTGTTGGATATAGATTCGATAAACAAGGATTCAATGATCAATCTTTCTTCATCTCTCCATCTAATTATATTCTACTTGAGTATAGTGGTTTCATCCATCACCTTATTGTGTAGTCATGTCTTAATGTATGCATAGCAATACCCTAGTGTTTTTCTAGATTATTGATCCTATTATTGGTATCTGTTATTGTATATTTAGCTGAAATTCCTATGTTCCTCTCATCTAACTGACACCGACCACCTAGTTTCACCTATGTACTTGACCTCAGTCACATTCAGTACATGGAATTTGATAGATTCGATTACTTTGCTGAATTGCTTCTATCGCAGCCTTAAGACTACCGACAAAGCTTATCTCTGAGTTTGTTGGTTTAAATGACACTCTAATTCCAGCTTTATTGAGGATCCCACGTAAAGTTTTTAATGTACCTTTCTTATATGGTAACACAGTGGAAGCATTCAACTTATTTCTACTCGTATTGCTGTTATCATTTTTTTTTCTTACGTTTTCTACAAATTTCTTAATAAGCAAGATGAATTACCTATGTTGATTTGAGGGATAAAACGAACGACGGACAGTGGTCTAGATACTACTGTCAACCAGATACCGACACACTGTAACAGGTATCTAGACTTCAAGTCATCCTGTCCAATGTCAGTGAGTTATGGTGGATTTGGTCAAATGTATAAATGATAAAACCAGACAACGGAGTAGTCATTGCAAGAACCTAAACAAGGAACTGAAACACACGAAAGAAGCACATTATTATTATGAGTCCTTTGGGTTATTAATGGAACATACCGCTTCAGTAGCACGTCTCCATTCCACTCTCTTCTCTGAAATCTTTTCAACCTGGTTCCACCACAGCCAACAACCTCTCATTTCCTTCTCACACGATCTCCTCCATGTCACCCTCACCACGGACGTCCAACTCGTCGCTTCTCACGAAGATTCCACTCAAGTACTTGGCCTAACACATGATGTACCCAGTCGGCCTTCTCAGTGTATGCCCAATCCATCCCCACTTCCTTCCACAGCATATTTGTTCAGCGATAGCTTCTTGGTTGTTTGTTCGTTCTCAGAACTCCTTATTGCTTATTCTAACTATTCTGGCCATCTGATCTTCAGTATCAAGTGAGCGTAGGCGGCAGCTGTTGATGAATGTCTGCAGTTAGTTGGAAATGCCTTTCGTGACGCGCCAAGTCTCTCAACCATCACACAGAAGCACTGACTTGACTGGTGTTGATGTTGAAAATCCGGATGTTGTTCCACATGCTGAGTGGAGTGCAGTGGATCTCCACACTGGTTTCAGGCTAATGAACGCCTGTCTTGCTGTCTTTCCGATTCTGACTTTGACATCCTCGTCTGTGCCTGTGCTGCCTGTAGTTGGAACAGTGCTTCCTAGATAGGTGAAGGAGGTTACTTCCTTTAAGTTTCTCCCGTTGATGGTGACTGGAGTTTGTTGTTGTTGTTGGAGTTGTTGGTGAGGTATCTTTGGCATTTGTCAACTTATGTCACTAGTGGTGTATTCTGCCAGTAATATGCGCTGCAATCTGTTCTGTCCTGTTATATGGCTGTGACACATGAAGTGGCTATAGAGTTTTGATCATAGACGTATTTTTAGCGTTGCTCGCTTTTGATGGAATCATCTTGTGAACAATGTTTAGGTCAGATGAAAGGTAATAGACGAGCAAGTTGATTCATGGGGTTGTAAACCACAGTCGGCTGGGATTGTTTGGACATGTATTGTGCATGTCGATCAACTGCCTGCCTCGACATGTGACACTAAAGGAAATTGAACTGGGTAGGAAAAGGGTTCAGGATAGCCATAATATGACGCCGCACTAGTCAATGAAGTCCAGACTGTTAGTTTGAGTCGTTTGGATGTTATGTAGACTACCTGGACGGGGGGGGGGATGAGACGAAAAGATTTATTGGCTAAGAACTCCTCGTAACATGGCTTCAAATCAGGCACAGTGACGCAGATGTATCCATTCTTTGACATCTGAAGCTTGAATATTCGTATTTACCTTCATCTTCTGATTGTTTATTCTCTCACACAACTTTATCTACTTTGATATCACTCGTGTTCTATCCATCTATCCTTTATGTACTTCTGTGAGGTATGGCAAACTGAATCGATGCACCTATGTGGGAGAGGTTCTAAGTTGATTTACAACTGATATGATTCACCATTGGTTCCTGATATACAGAACATTTGCTGTGTGATACAACTAGGAAGATGACCAAAATGAAATCGGAAACTACCACAGTATTCAATTTTTACAATTATATTAGCTTCAAAGTTCCTACAGACATTTGGGTGTTTAGTTTCAAAGTTCATGGTTGATCTGTGTATGAATAAAACATCTTAAGGCATTGAGTACTAATTTCATATAACTGAGAAGCTATACTCAAGTTATTTTATTAAACAATGATCTATATCAACTGTACAGGGATCACATTTGATCTGGTTGAACAGATGTCGATCTCATGATGTAATGTGAGGTCAAAAATCGATGACGAAAGATTTGTGAAATAGATAGTAACTTCGAGGACTTAACCTTCTTTTTACCCTACCAGTAATTGATGGTACATCTAACTGGTTACATTCTGATGACTACAGTTCTTAACAGTGTTTGTTATATCCTATCACTGATTAATTACATAATGCACTGATATTTAAATCGATTGTTTCATGTTTCTAGTCTTAGAAGGGATAACATCATTCACTGGAAGGTAAGCACATCCAGCTGATAAGTCTCAAATGGAACAAAACGCTTAGCCTAGATTCGCCTACTAGCCATTATCCACCATTAATGTTACGAATTGGAGATCTTCTGCACTCAGCATGCGGAACAAGATCCGGATTTTCAACACCAACGTCAAGTCAGTGCTCTTGTATGGTTCAGAGACTTGGCGCGTCACGAAAGGGATTTCCAATAAACTACAGACATTCATCAACAACTGCTTACGCTCGCTACTGCAGATGAGATGGCCAGAATAGTTAGAATAAGCTAGAAGGAGCTCTGGGAACGAACCAACCAAGAACCTATCACGCAACAAATATGCAGTAGGAGGAAGTGGAGATGGATTGGGCATGCACTGAGAAGGCCGACTGAGGACATCAAGCGTCAGGCCGGGCACTCGAGTGGAATCCCATGGGAAGCGACGAGTTGGAGGTCTGTGGTGAGGGTTACATGGAGGAGGTCGTGCGAGGAGGAAATGAGAGGTTGTGGGCTGTCTTGGGACCAGGTTGAAAAGATTTCAGAGAACAGAGGTCACTGGAGGCGTGCAACTGAAGCCCTATGTTCCACTAGGAACTCAAGGGACTAATAATAAATAATAATAATGTTACGAATAAAAATACTGTCAATATCGAGGTATCCGGACACTCACCTGCCAGCAATGACCGATCGATTCAGCCAGATCAATGATTGAAATACAAAAACAGTAACATTTTAAGAGAGAAAACGAGTGATTAGTGAAATAACTCACCTGACTGATATGTGGTATAAATATATACTCCCAGCTTCTAGCAGTTCTAATCTGATTCTCTGAATTTGGATAATCAGAATGTTGATTATTCAATGAACAATCTGGTCTAATGATTTCTAAGGAATCACCAGATGACTGTGATTTATCCAACTTTTTTAACTTTAATGATTGTGTAAAACAACCATGAGTAATTTTATCCTGATAACTATTGTTCACAATATCTTTATTGTCTGTGCTAGTAGTAACATTTACTGTGGTTAACTGAAATGGTATGACTTTTGATTGGTCAATTAATTCGTGTTTTCTACCTCCATCTTCTTCATCCTTTTGTTTTTCCTGACTATGATATCCTTTTGAAGTAATAAAAGAGATAAGTTTCTGATTAGTTTGAGGAGATGATGAATAGTCTTTCAATGTCCAATGCTTCTCATAGTTTTCTTTTAATCGATCACTTGACATGAATGATAATGGTAATGGTATATAAATAGAGTGTTTCGTTTCTTCTGTTGGTAATGTAGTATAATTTGTAGAACGTTCAGATAATGGTATAAAAGTGGTATAACCTTCATGATATGATTGTGGTTGTTCTTGATGATGATGATGGTGATAACAGTGTTGATTTTGTTCAATGATCAATGGTGTTAAATGTACAGATTCTGTGTGACGATCAGTATAATCCTCTTCATTATTCAATATTGTAGGATCATTTGAATCAATATGATATTGTAAAAGATTCCCATTGTCTTTATCGATTAATATTGATTTATTTGGGTATAAGGTTATATTTGATGTATGAATATTATTACTACTGTTATTGTTATTGTGAGTAGTATTCAAGTTGGAATTGAAAATTGTTTTCCAATTAATTTTTTCATTAGATAATTTTTGTATACTATTGATTGAATTATGATTTCGAGTTAAATATTGTGTTCTATCATTACTATTACAATTATTAGTATTATTATAACATCGAAATGTGTGAAATCCCCGCCTACCGCATACATAGACAGTGATACCTAGGAGGACAAGAATAATTGCACAACTCAAAGCAACAATTGCAACGAGAATAGAACCAGCACTTATAAAATTATCTTCTTGACTATTAGGGAATTCATTGATTCTCATCATTTTGCCTTGATCATCAGTTGAATGCTGACCATCTTTGAATCGACGATGTAAAGTTAGCGATTTTGAATCGTCAGCAGAGTGTAGATCAGAGAATTGATGTGAATAAACACGTGGTGGTGAATCGGTTATCTTTCAGTAGGAAACAAGAAGAAATATAATATTGGGAGATGAAAGTTTTAAAGAAGTTTGATATTATAGAATGAACTGAATGAGTGGGAATGAATAAATTACCTAGCCCAGGTTCCATTACTTGTGTCATGATGTTGGTGTACTTTTAGAGTTTATCTGACTGTCGATATGAGCATCTTAATCTAACTTCCACGATTACTGAATGACACATTTAATTTGATCAGGACTGTTTATCTTTATGCACCACTGAAAGAACCAACTTAGAACGGCAACAATACTTATTACCAGCTAACAGCTGATCAAAGTAATCAACATGGAAACAATTTTTGCAATAAAAAGTATCATGTAGTAGAGAATGATGTGCCTTTATAGTGTACTAGGAAACTGCTTCGTCCTACTTTTAAGCTGATTAGTGGTGCCTAACTCCAATGCTTAGATTTCAAAGGAATCGTGAAAATAACCGAACTTATTTTCTCATTACTGCTTCATAAGCATAGGAAGCAAAGATAAGAGTAAACTTTAGTGAAAGCCAATCACGTTCAAGTTTGCGCTGACCAATCGGAGTCAAGCATTTCAAGGACAATGTAATTATTATGAAAAACGGTACTTTACTTATAAATTATAAATCTGTTTCATATATGAAATAAAAGTAACTAGATTTTCAATAGGTTTATCAACTTAAAAGTCAAACCAGCTTGTCCGCAGTGCCAGTCATCCATATCATATCATTCCATGTCGGTTCATAATCCCGTTAAATGTCTTCGAAACTTTCTAAGATAACTAAATATATTTCCTCAACAGTTGTTTATATGCACTCCAATTGTCGGTGTGAACGAATCCCTTCTTGTGAAAAAATAGCTCGATAGGGGTTACTCATACCAGACTTTCAAGTATCTTCATGTTGCCCATTTTTCTATAACTCGTACGGTAGATTCCTGTGATCTAAACAACATCCATCGGAAATGTCCTTCAGTCGTATTTCAGTCACATTTTCTAAGAGATTGTGATTTGTCAAAACGTATGTAATGTAACTTAACAGGTCCTATTTAGGTCATCAGTCCTCAGTTATGTTTACACTTTCGAACAAGAACTTCGTGTATTTCAACCACATTTTCTTACTCCAACAAATTTCATAGCCAACTTCCATTTTATTACGACGCAAATATCTCAGCAGTCCTGATAATACTGTACTCGGGAAACTTTACTAACATTTGTCAGAGTTTCGGTTAAGATTACAAGTATTCCAACAATTCAGTGGAATAATAAATCATTCTAGAAGATTTCGATTTCGCCAATGATGACTTGTGTCTAATGCCACAGAAACTCGAAGATCTACAGGCGAAAACCAAAAGGCTGACAATAAACAGAGCGAAGACAGAACTCCCAGTGAAGGTAAAGAAGACAGAGGTGATGGTGATACCCAAAACAAAAGCAACACCACAACCACCACCACCACCACCAACAACAAACATCAATCACCAACAACAAAAGAAGCGACAGCGTTGGTTAACTTGAGCCCCAGCTGTGCGTACAATAAAATTTGTTGTCTCACTTCATTCACCTTGATAATCCTTGGTTATCTGATTATATCACCAAAACTAGTGTCACAACCTTTCACATTCATTAGATTTCACCTTCCATTTTCATGTACAAATTGACTGGAAACAAGTAAATGTGTGTGTGAGTGTGGGAGGGGGATCAGATTGTTCGAAATATGTATTGTGCAAATGCATAACTCACACACTCTCTCACACATACACAGATTGTTCAGATATTCTTCGTCTTCTAATAACTTTATCAAAACTGTCAACTCGAAGATTATAACACTGACTGTACATCTCTTGAACATGATGTCCCCGAAAACCATCTTTTCATCAAAGGCTTTCTCCTTCTATTCAAATACTTTGCAATTTATACACTACTTCATGGCACAGATGTTACGCAGTTGAGAAGAATTCTTGGAATAGTAAAAACAAAATAAACGAAGTCCTATTGTTCTCACGCTGTTTACCTTCAAAAAGCATACTGACATATTTAATGTCTGACATCAACAAAATTCACTTGATTTGCAGTCATTTACACAGCGATATCAGTGAATAATCCTAGAATATTTCATCATGAATCCTTATCAGCTACGGAACCATCACCTAGAAGTGACCGAGAAGTGATAGCTGTCGTGACAAGCAATAAACTATCAGTGAATCTGTATAATCACTGTCATGCTCATATTGACCGGGATTTTAAATGTGTCGTCAATTGGAATTGCTCATCTTTTGAATGTAATGACAGTTAAGGTGTTTCGAGGCGGGCGATTACCTTCACTGGGTCTGACTCAGATGAACAACTGGTGAGGAATCGTGCTGCTGTCCATCTCCACCTCAAGCTACATATTAGGCCGCATCATTCTGGAGAGACTAAAGGATGTGCTCGATTCACAACTACCACGAGAACAGTCTGTCTGTCTGTCTGTCTGTCTGTCTGTCTGGCTGGCTGGCTGGCTGGATTCAGGAAGTACAAATCATGTGCAGACCGAATTGTAACTCCACGCATCATCATAGAAACGCGTGTAGAATGGCAGTCAACTGCAGCTCTATCTCAACTTCATCGACTCCGAAAAGGCCTTCAACAGCGTCGACCGTGAAGTAATTTGATAGTTGCTTCAACACTATGGAATAACACAAACACTCATGAATATCATTCGACAACTATATGAAGACACCACATACCAAATAATTCTCAATGGGAAGTTCAGTGATGCCTCTGAAGTGAAGACATGAGTAGGAGAAGGCTGCCACCTACTATCACCCATGATATTCCTGATTGTGGTCGACTGCACTGGATCATGCAAGAAACAGTGAGGAGTGAGGAGAGGGGGATACACTGGACCGATAAAAAGAGCCTATATAATTTTCACTTGGCCACCGATCATTTTTGTTTAATGTCGCACAAACTGGAAGATGTACAGGCGAAAACTGACTAAGTGATAGGAGAGGCTGAGAAGATGGGACTTCAGGTGAACGTGGAGAAGACAGAGGTGATGATGATACCCAACCAACGCCACCACCATCACCACCGCCACCATCAACAACAACAACAAACACCAATCACCATCAACGGGGGAAATTTAAAGGAAGTAGTCTCTTTCACCTACCCATCTATCTAGGCAACATCGTTTCAACTACAGGTGGTGGCACAGACGAGGACGTCAAAGCCAGCCACGATCAGGAAAGCAAGACAGACGCTCATTAACATGAAACCAGTGTGGAGATCTTCTCCACTCCACTCTACTCCACTCCACTCCACTCAGCATAAAGTGTGAACAACATCAAGATTTTCAACACCGGCGTCAGTCAAGTGAGTCAGTGCTTCCATGTGATGGTTGAGACACTTGGTGCGTTACGAAAGGGATTTCCAACAGACTACAGATATTCATTAAGAGGAGCCACCTACACTGGCTCGATACTGACACTGAAGCTGAGATGGCCATAATAATAAGAATAAGCAACAAGGATCTGTGGCTGGCTGACAACTGTCCGACCAAGAACCTATCACTCAACAAATATTTAGGGGGCGAAAGTGGAGATGGATTGGGCATGCACTAAGAAGGCTGATTGGGGGCATCACGCAGCAAGCCTTGGGTCTCGAGTGGAACCCAGATGGGAAACTGCGAGTTGGGCAATAGTGACATGTAGGGGATGATGTGAGGAAGAAATGAGAGCTTATGGGGAATCCTGGATTCAGGTTGAAAAGATTGCATAAAACATAGTAGAATGGCAACGTGCTACTGAAGCCCTATGTTCCACTAGGGACCCAAGGGACAAGTAATAATATAAATCATTTGTTATAATTCCACAACACGGTAAACGGAAATAGCGAATGGCCTTGAACTAAGTATCTCCAAGCTGGTTGGTTGTCCTAAAGGTTTGCTATCACTAAACTTCAATTCTACTGATATGAGTAGTATCCATGTAGCGTATATGGCTCAAATAGCCAATTGAGAAAGGTAATAAAAATGTATGAATCAGGCTATGAGCCATCCACTTGTGTAAATGTTAATCAAATGATTAGTGACTGAATGAATAGAACAAGTGAGTCACATAACACTGAAAGTCTAATGAAACTTTCTGAAAGCTCACGTTTATATATTGCCGGATGTATCAAGTTGTTATTCATCGTAGACTGACATCAGTTGGAGCAACAAAGGAAACCTGGAGCACTGGATAGCTGCCCCAGCCCACTAGTGTGGGACTCCTCAGCAATGCGCACCCACGACTCCGTCAGGGATCGAATCCGCGACCTTAAGGTTCCATAGCCAGCACGTTATTAGGACGAAACAGCTGTCCAGTGCTCCAAGGTTCCCTTTGTTCCTCCAACTGATGTCAGTCTACAATGAATAACAACTTGAAATATTTCCAAATCTCCACAACTCCATCAAAATGCAATTGAACTGGTGCTCATTGGTGACTAGCTTCGAGAGGTAATCCCGAAGTTCCAATGAGAAGTTGTGACCAGTGGGGGTAGAGCCTGATGGTCGTGAGGACAGTTACTCAATGATGACATTCGGTGGTGGTTGGGCAATATCGTGAGCTAACAGAAGTTGGAAATATGGACGATCGGGTTCTGACCGAGTGGCTGAATAGTGAGGTGCTGGCCATGGAACCTGAAGGTCATGGATTCAATCCCTGGAGGGCGGGGTTGTGGGTGCGCACTTCTGAGGAGTCTGATACTAGTGGGCTGGGACAGCTGTCCAGTGCTTCCAGGTTTCCTTTGTTCCTCTAACTGATGTCAGTCTACAATGAATAACAACTTGGAATATTTTCAAATCCCCACATCTCCCTCAAAATTACCAGATGTATTGAACATAAATGGGGTTGATTTGAGGGAAATTTGTTCAACAAGGAAGCTGTATAATACAATTTATGATCACAGGTTAAATTATGAAAAGAAACTCTCATATCTCAGTAGTTTAATGTTACTTGGCTCAGCGGCTATGTCATAAA